TGCTATATAAATGTAACGAATTATTATTATTTAAAACCGTAAATCTGTGTGTATTTTTTGGCACTACCATTGGCATGAGTTTGGGACAAGACTTTCTGTGTGCCTGACCAATAGCAGACAGGGGGAGTGTTCTGGAAACATGGTTGTAAACAGTTATTTTTTGCAGTTTTGTTTCTTTGAAGCAGTTTTCACTCAAAAATTTCTAGTTAATTTCAAATAATTACAAAGAAATTACACATTGTTACGCACTGGATCAAATGTGAGTAGAAAGACTAAAATAGTATACTCCAATAATCTTTGTTTTATTTACAACTTTGAAAATTATCTTTGGTTACAATTAATTTTAAGGTGCACTTGTTACAGTGTAATTATGCATTTAAGTACTGAGTATTATTAATTAACTAACATCACTTCGCCGCCTTCATTGAGTGGGTGCTGGTGTCCTGTAAATCGCCGTTCACCGTGGATATCGCAGATGATGACACCAGCCCACCATCACCCCGCTGTGCGGAGCCAAAGCCCGCCACGACCGACGAGCCATCGCCAGAAAGAGCGACAGTGCTGAGGATCGCCCCAGAGCCAGAGCCCGTGACATCAGACCAGGTGCGAGAGATGGCTACAGAGCTCATCACGGGGAGAGCGTCAAGGACAGCGAGAGCGCGGAGGGAAGCTCCGCCCACTGCACCATGGCTGAGGGTGAGCTGAGCTCAGTGGACTGTAATTCGGATATTTATGCAGACATGCCCCCTCTTCTTCCGCCTTCATCTGAACTTTCTGCCTGCCATGAATTATTTGTCTGCGCCAAATTCTCTGCCTGCCCAGAATTATCTGTCTGCCCTGAACTGTCTGTTTGCCCTGAACTGTCTGCCAGTGCGATAATGACCACGGAGGTCGTTCCCCTGTTCCACGGTGGTGGAAGTAGCCTTGTGGTGTGTGTGTGGGCAGCTCCCTTGTCCCTTCGGCTCCGCCTTGGTCTGTCGTCGACCATCCGCCACCTCGGGACTCCACTCCTCCGGCTACGTCTCATCCCTCCATCCCTCCAGCTCTGTCAGGCTCCTCCTTCCCTTCGGCTCCACCTTAGTCCTCAGTCGCTCCTGCTTCATCGCGGCCTTCTGGATCCCCGCCTCCGCCTCGGTCACTGGTGCCATCTGCTCTGCCTTGGCCCTCCGGATGCTCCTGGTCACCCTGGCTCATCAGCTCTCTATCTCCGCCTCGGGCTCCTCCTCCACCTGCTCCGCCGTGTCGGTCGTCCCCCTGGAGTCATCAGTCCTTCCTCCACCATGGCTCCTCCTTCCATCGGTTCCACCGTGGGCAGCCATTATGGCTGCGGCCTGGGTCTCGCCTGGCTCCTTCTGCTCCAAGTTACTCCTGTCTTCTCGCCTGGCTCCTCCTATTTCCTCCATGGCTCCTCCCTCCTTTGTCTCCACCCTGGACTCTGTTCACCATCCTCCTCCCGGGAGTCCGTCCTCCGCCTAAACCTCCACCTGGGTTGTCTGCCTGCCTTCCTGCCAGCCCAGCACCATCCCGTCACCCACATCCCTAAGTCCCCCTCCGTTCCACCCTTTCTTCCTGCGGCACGAGGTCACGCCTTCCGGAAAGGGGGCGAACTGTCACACACCCCTTTGGACGTTTTGTTGTGTTTTCATCCCTCATGTGTTCATTGACCCTGTTTCTGTCTCTCTTTCATTAGTTAGTTCCTTGTGTGCCCATATTTGGTTATGTTCCTGTTCTTGTTATGTTATTATTAGTTCATCCTCCTCACCTGTCTGTCCCTCATCAAGCTCCCCTATATTTAGTCAAGTCTGTGCATTCTGTCTTTGTCCAGTGTTAAAGATGAGTTGTACGCATGTCACTGCCTACCTTCTGTGGATTCCTTTGGTGTGGATTATATTAAAGACTGTTTGCATTCATCCTAGTCTTCGTCATGCGTTTCTCACTCTGCACCATGACATTAGGGTTACTTGCATGTAATTTAGAACAACTAATTGTTATTATAATAGTAAGTACATGTAACGTGTAACAAGGACACCTTAAAATAAAGTGTTACCCTATCTTTTTTTACCCTGTAGTAGTGCATAAATTAGTTGAGCTTTTATTATTGTAATTTCTGAAGACATTACTTTTATTTCTTTTTGGTTTCTGTATTATCATCTCTATATCTCTGACTTTCACAGGAAAGCAGTAAAGGCCACACTGGTTCTTCTGCCACTGCTGGGCATCACATACATGTTGTTCTTCGTCAACCCTGGCGAGGATGAGATCTCACAGATTGTCTTCATCTACTTCAACTCTTTCCTAGAGTCCTTTCAGGTGAGTAAACCAGCCCAGTCTCATGATGAAAACCTACCGTTTTTTGCAAGATGCGAAATACGTAGCACCATGTATGTTTCGTGACATATTCGGTATGAAATATCCACTGAGTGGCGCTAAAAGAGTGTTCAGTTTTTTCCCCGGAACAGATGAATGTACATATGTTCTGACTTGAAATGTCCGTTGATTGGCACTATAACTGTAATGCCCCATGACGTTTTAAAATAACGTACCATCTGCACTACACTTAAACCTAACCGATAGTATGAACAAATGCGAATATGACATAAAAACGCAATCATGCAATTTTAGCTTGTTTTTTGATCTCTCATCTTTGAGCTCTTTTATCGAGAGTCATGTTTTTCACGGGATTCGTGCCCAAGGATTCTGCATCCTAAATCAAATTCCATGCCAGCTGAGCTACCAAGTAAGCTTGTTACTGCCAGAAATCGAAAAGTGGAGCTGGTTAAGTGACGCAGTCCAAAAGTGTGTACAAAAACGATTAAAAGTGCTTGCTGTTTTACTGCCTCTAGTGTTCATTTCTGTTGGAAACTGCAGTGATATGTACTTATTGGTACGCATTTCGCGTCTTGCAAAAAAGTTCCCACAGGTCCGTTTTCTTAATGAGATCAGGTTGCAGCCAACACAGTTTTAACCCTGATTAATTGTGTTAAAACAGATCCGAAACTAATCTTTACAACTTAGAGGTGGAAATTCACTAAGAATAAATTGCACCCACTGATAGAGTTATTTGCACATGCTGTCTTTTACAAAAGTGCTGAGGTTTGTGAACAAAGCACATTGAATAATAAGCCTGATTTGCATTGAAAATAATGACAGTCACTGAATCTAAATATGGCACTGTGTATTTAAGTGCATTTAGTGCTTGCTTAAACTGGATTGCAGGTGCTTAAACATCACATACTAAAGTGGTTTTAGCTGTTCAGTGTTTTCACCCCAGAAATTGCTTCACTAAAGGTTGTTTTTGAAAAAAAAAAAAATAGTTTGCACAACTAAATGTGTGTTTTGTTTTTCATATATTTATATGAAACGTGACACAACTGCAATATTGTCTATAGTGGTTCTATCTATATCCATTTCTCTGTCGCACAGTTAGGCAAAGAACACTTTTCCTTATAAATCTAGATTATTAATTTAACTGTTAATGTCTAAAAAAGATTATTAATTAGCTTTAAAAATATATATTTTTCATGGGTGGAAAAAATATATAAAAAATGCTTTTACTGTGGGCATAATCAGAGGTTTTACAGTTTCCTCTGCAAAATCCCTTTTCAGAAAAAAAAGTTAAAAATGACCACCAGGATGTTAAGTAACCGTAGCAACAGCAAAATTGTTTATTTGTTTACTTAAATTTCATTTATTAGAAATTGTCTAGAGGGTTAGATAAGTCTCAGATAAGTCTATGCATTTCACATCATGATGAATTAGAGTGAGAAGGGAGATGTTGATGATTGTTTCACTTGTTTACTAAATCATATACAGTACATAGGATGTTTAAATTGTTTTTATTATTTATTTATTTCTTGATAGGCTATGTATTATACAAGTGTTTTGTTTCTGTGATATAATCGGCACAGATTTCCCTTTAGAAGGTTATGCAGAAATTAGATTTTTGCTTTCAGCATCAGCTATTTGACACACTTTTGTTAATGTAACCCAGACACAAGCAGCATTAAAATGATTTGAGAATTGATTAATTTGTGATTGACAGCTAATAACTGTAGCAGGGTTGAAATCACTTCCATTTGTTCCATTTGTCACATTGAATATCCTATTTCACTTGAAAATACGGTAACACTTTAGAATAGGGAACACATATTCACTATTAACTAAGAGTTTCCCCTCAGTTAACTCCTAATTTGCTGTTTATGAATAGTTATTAAGGTAGCTGTTAAGGCATTGATATGTGCTTTATAACTACTAATAAACAGCCAATATGCTAATATGCATACTAATAGTGAGAATTGGACCTTAAAATAAAGAGATAAATGGCTTGTGAATCCTGTTTTATGTTGACTCTACAGAATTGTTTTAAATTAAATTTGAGTGTTATTTAGAATTGTTTTATTTCTCATTTAACTGTTTCTCATTCTCTTGTCCTCTTTACAGGGCTTTTTTGTGTCAGTGTTCTACTGCTTTTTGAACAGTGAGGTAAGAAAGCTCTTTTCCTGATGTTCTTCTTCTGTTTCCATCCTTTTTGCACAAATATGCCCTCTAGTTTTGACTTTTAGAGCACAGCTCTACTAAAGCGATGGGTCTGTTCTTTGAAGTGCAATGCAAACATTCTGAGTAATTTGGGCAATTCAGATTTCTTCAGCCAAAAACAGAATTACATCGAGACCCTCTTGGAAAAACCACCTTAAAACCACCCTTTTTGCAGTCAATAACTATAAAAACCGACCCCGCTCATAAAACATTAATTCCTGCAAGGTCTAAATCTGACTTGTATTACATGCCCTTTGAAAAGAACAGTAAACCTTTGGGAATTTCCAGCCAAAATGTTCCTCTTTTGCGTCTTTCCCAGATCGAAAACGCAAGCACATCTTACGCATCATGTTGTACCCCTAAGTGAAAACGCTTACAGGTGCTGTAAAAGAATCCAGGATTGGATCCGTCTGGGCTTATTTTAGGCCGTGAACAAGTTCAAGGCAAGCAGGAAAGTGTGGGGCTTAATCTGAGGTCACCCTTAATCACAGACAGATATCAGAATACACAAGCAAAGCAGAGCGTACAGTATTGCTTAAGTCAAAGCGATAGCATTGATCTGTTCCCGGTACATATGAAAGGGACACCGCAATGTCAGAAGCAAGACCTCCAAAAAAAAATACCAATGTCATCAGCATTATGCTACTTCTAAAGGTACATTTGGCTCCAATGTGGCAATGCAAATATGTTCAGAACTAAAAAACCTGTGGTACTAAATTACAGCTGAAATAACAAACACTTGTCACTGAAAGTCAAAGGACAACAGAGAAATGATCTGGCTTGAAAGTGCAATAAAGTGCTTTCTTTCAGGCAGAAGGTTATTCGCTAACTTTCTCTCAATGTGTTGCATCATAGTTTTTTTTATTTGATTACCAGTTAAAGCTTTTTAAAAGGATAGTTTAACCAAAAATTACAATTTCATCATCGTTGTTCCAAACTTGTACACAGTGTACACTGTCCACATACTTTTCTTTTGCATGCAATAAACGTGTGTTTATTCACACTTTCAGGCTCCAGTATAAGGACAAAAAAAGGTCCACACGACTTCTGAAGTTGCTATAAGAGAGAAACAGACCAAAATTTAAGTCTTTATTCACAGAAATTCTTGAAATTGTATTCACGATTTAAACCTGTCGAGTGATCTACTGTGGAGACTAACCTTTGACCCTCTTGGGCATGGGCAACTGTTCATACTGTGTCATGGGCTGCCAGCAACTATTTCCTACCTATTCAAACTGTGGCTACTCAGAGTTTCAAGTTGAGAATATTTTGAATGAAACTTCTTTGACAATTAAGTGACATAATTATTGTAGGTAAACAAAATAACAATGCATATCTACGTGAATGTGTTTATGTATACTGTATTATGTATACAAGTCTGTTCATTATAGCATCCTTCAGCTCTTGAGCTTGAATCACAGTGATTTGAATTCTTTTACATGTTATTTTTTTTCTGCTTCAGCGGCTTGTGGAGTGTTTACTGGCTTAAATTTCAGCGAAGTCAGCATTGTTGATAAAAGCTTTGGTGATTTTGAATCAAAACTTAACCTGGCAAGAGAGCAACAGGCGTGGAAGCCGTACGCTGTCCATAGCGCATTGGAGCGCAGACTAATATTTCTCCGCTGACCACTTCAAAAACAGGCACCCTACAAAGTGTATTGAATGAGGTGGAGATAGACAGGAGGTTTAAATGTTTTCTCCAACATCCATCTCATTGATTTGCGGAGAGCGAGGCCTTTTACAGTCTTTCAGAGAGCCGACAGACTCATTCAGTGAAACGGGAATTACTGTCTAATGCGGTCCAGGTTTTTCTCATATGACCACAGGCTTCTGGTTTATTTCCCCCGTTTTTAAATTGTATTTGACATTTTAGTTGTCAAAGGACTGTAACAATTTCAACCTTTGCTGACAGCACAGCTTAAGGAAATGGCATAGGTTTGGTTGCTAAGGAGAGAACTCCCTGGTTGCCATGATAGAACGCTGATTATGCAAATGATGTAGCTTTTCATTGGTGGCATATATCACACTGATGCGATTTAAATGCTAATGATTTGATGTTCAGATGTTTTTTGCTGGGAGCAGAGCTTTACTGCTGACCTTTGACCAATCCTGCCACTCTAAATCCAGATCTGATTCATTAGCAAAGCAGCTAAACTGCTCTCAGTTCAGTGTAAAATATACAGTATACAAGCTCAATACAATCTTCATATATATGTAGAATATAAACCCTCCCTCTCCAGATGGTATATGCAGTGTAAACAACATTGAAAATCTGCCATTGTATATTTAAATATATATTTTTGTATATCTTTCGTTTTTCCTTTCACTCAAAATGTGAAAGATTTATTATTATTATTATTATTATTATTATTATTATTATTAAAGCATTTTCTCTAGTGGTCCTTTGTATAAAAAATGTTAATATATATCACCACCCTCTCTCTTAATCACCCACTTTCTCCATAGTATTCTCTCTCTCTGTCCGCTGTAAATTAAACTGCTTTTCTCTGATGTAGATGCTCCTCATACACACTTAATTTAGCAGTCGTTCAAACATGTGCCCACACGGATATGTATTTATTTTTTCTTTCCATGTCACACACACACACACACATGCATCTGCCCACACAAACACATACGCACCTGTTCTCACACTTTCTCTCTCACACTATGGGAAAGGTCAATTATTAGTCTTGTTAATATTACTCTTCGCAATGAAGATGAGTTATATTGAGATGCCACATGTGGGATTGTTATGTGCATGATGTATGATGCTTTTCTTTTCTTTTTGAATTTTATTTTTCTTGCCAACATTTTAACTAACATTTTTTTTTAGAAACAACTTTTTAATATTTCAGAAATACATTTATTTTTCATTAAATATTTTTGAACAAAGGTAACACAAGATACAACATTTTTCAATAATTTATTAGAAATGTTGATGTGTTTATTCAATTTAAACAGGAACAGAGGTTTGAAAAAAAACCTTTGTAAAAAAAATTATTTCTCTTACCTATTATTTTAAAGCATAGTAGGATACCTGACAAGGTTAATGTAAATTAAACTCTAGTGAGGACCAGTAGCATGACAGGTGACATGTTTGACAGAAAATACATGCTGCTCTTTGTTGACAAATGTCATTGACAAATGACTGACAGAATTATACACTAGTGAGATCTAATCACTCTTTTAAAGTCACTTTTAAAATCATGTTTTGTTTAAACCACAAATTTCTAATTTGTCTGTCCATATTTATGTCATTTGTCTTTCATTTCCACCTTATTTGACTGGGTATTCAGAGCTACAAAAAAAATAAAAGTAACACTTTATTTTAGGTTAGGTTAGGTTCTCTTAACTAGTTGCTTATTAAGCACTAATTAAGCACATATTAATGCCTTATTCTACATGACCTTATTCTACATCCCTAATTCTACCCAATACCTAAACTTAACAACTACCTTACTAACTATTAATAAGCAGCAAATTAGGATTTTATTTAGGGAAAAGTTAGGTAATAGTGAATAAGTGTTCCCTATTCTAAAGTGTTACCAAAAAAAAAAGCAACACTAACTCCAACTCTGCTTGCTGTTGAACAAACAAAACTACAAGAATACAGATAAACATTGATAACTATATATTTAAAATGTTATATTTTAGTTGTATTGTGTTTGGTGTTCATTTATATGTATAGCTTAAGCCCTCATATATGGCTTAAGCTATACATTTTGTTACTAACTTGTACTGAAGCTAACTTCTCTTTTGCAGTTGAGCTACATTCAATTATTCATATCATTAGTAATGTCTCTTTCTGTGTCTGTAGGTACGTTCAGCTGTTCGTAAGCGGTGGCATCGCTGGCAGGATAAGCACTCCATTCGGGCGCGGGTGGCACGGGCCATGTCTATTCCCACCTCTCCAACACGGGTCAGTTTCCACAGCATCAAGCAGTCGTCGGCAATCTGACCATAACCGAAGCGAAGCATCCATCCCTGTTTCTTCTACTCCTGCTCTTTCTGTCCTCAGCTAACTATCCACGTCCTCTGCAAAACCCAGGGATAACAGCTATGGGCCAAACAGGGTATGATCCTCAGCTGAAACACAGATGAAGGGTGGCAATGTACACAGATTATGAGGTCCACCTGCCAAACACAGAGGGAAAAACTGTTTCAGAAACAGATTAGAGCATTGGTGGTCTCAGACAGCGATGGGTGACCGTGGGAGGAACCTGACAGACACACAAAAAGTTGATAAATACTGGCAGAGCGTATTTTTTCAAGAGACAATAGAGTTAAATGTTGCATCCTCTCCTCCTGATTTTGAGTCTTCTCTGATTGGAGAGCTCAGTTTATTCCTAACTTGTTTCCAGAACTATCGGAGTTGGATAAAATGGAATGTACACTACATGGCCAAAAGTATTGCGATTGTGAGCCATACATGCGTCTGAATGGGACCAAATCCATATTCCTACATCAATTGGAAACCTTCCCAGAAGAGTGGAAGCTGCAGGATAAACTTCTTATTGATGCCAATAGTTTTGAAATTAATCACATATGGGTTCAGTGTTCATGTGTCCTCAAGCTTTTGGCCATATAGTGCAATAGTTTTAGGAGTTTTAAAACAAAATGACATAATCATGTTCATAATCATATGAACATGACATAATCATAATCACAGGAACAAAATCATAATTATGTTCCTGTGGCTCAGTGGTAGAGCATTGCATTAGCAGCGCAAAAGGTTGTGGGTTTGATTCCCAGGGAACACACATACTGGTAAAAAATGTATAGCCTGAATGTACTGTAAGTCGCTTTGGATAAAAGTGTCTGCTAAATGCATTTATTATAAATTATAATCAGAGAGAAAAAAAATCCAATCAGAAAACAAACAATATCTTTGACAGATCTTAATGTGAACTTTCATTATTGTGATTGAATCTTTTAACTGGATACATTGGAGACAAATGTATGGTGTTTTCTCTGAGATGTTCAGGGGTGCGTTTCCCAAAAACAACTATGGTCGCAAGTTCCGTCGTTACCAATAGAGTTCAGTGGAACTAACGACCAGAGTTAGCTAACGATGCTTTTGGGAAACACACCCCAGATTGTGACCCTTATACTTTTTCTTACTCTTCACTTGCTGTTCTTTATTGCCCACTTGGTTGCAGCTAGTAATAGTTCCCTCTGATTGTCATACATTTCCTGTGAGCAACCTCATTCAAATTGGACACTTTTTGCATTGATATGATGAGTACATCTATTGCTGTGTATATCATGCAGTGCGAGTGTGAAAACTCTAAACCGTATTTAGAAAGATGAAAGGTACGTGTTAATGCTCTCTAAGCCTGTTTGCATCCTGGGACTCAAGGATATATCTAAACCCCGGCGAAAAAGGAGAAGGAAACTCACAGGAAAGGAAACAACATCATGAAAGGCTAAAGTAGAAGACGGTACGCTCCGATGCTAAACACATAACACAATCTTTTAAATAAGGGGTTTATCACAGAACAAAGAAAGGATTTAGATTTTATCCTGTAGTTGGAGCCTCAGCCAAGTGGGCGATTGAATGTATTTCAATTAACCACTCCAGCTTTCCATGCACAGTTTTATATAAATTCCCAGTTATCAAGCAGTTTTACGAGATGCTCATAGTACAAAATACTTGCGAATTTGGATTCTGAAGACTTTTCCAAAAAGACTAATTCTAATCACACGTGACTGGATGCTGTGGGTAGTTTTTGTTGTCTGAGAGCCTTATAGTGATAGTTCACCCAAAATGACAATTCTGCCATCGTTCACTCATATTGATCCAAAATAGTATGACTTTATTACTTCCAACAAACACAAAAGGAGAAATTTTGAAGAATGTACACCACCGTTCAAATGTTCAGTAAGATTGATTTTTTTTTTTTTAAGAAATCAATACTTGTATGCGGTAAGTGTGCATTAAATTGATCAAAGGTGTGTCCGTAAATACATACAAAACATGATATTTCAAATAAATGATGTTCTTTTGAACTTTCTATTCATCAAACAATGCTAATAAAAAAGTATCACAGTTCCACAAAAATATTAGGCAGCAGAACTCTTTATAATGTTGATAATAAGAAATGTTTCTTGAGCAGCAAATCAGCATATTTGCATGATTTCAAAAGGATCGTGTGACACTGAAAACTGGAGTAACGAAAATTTAGCTTTGCATCACAGAAATAAATTACATTTTTAAAAAAAAATCTTTATTTTGTATTAGTTTTGTAATAATTTGATCAAATAAATTCAGACTTGGCAAGCATTTGGACACTTCTTTCAAAAACATTAAATATTTTTCAACGGTAGTGTAGCTGGATGCTTTAGTACACTCTAAAAAATGCTGGGTTAAAACAACCCAATAGCTGGGTTTTTCCCTTTTTAACCCCACGCTGGGTTATATTTAACCCAGCATTTTTTTTGAGTGTAATATTCCACTCCAGTAAGCTATTCACTTGAGAACTGCAACAAATCGGTTCACTGAATCAATGAGTTGAATTGAATCAGTTTGATTTGTGAATGATTATTTTATTCACAGACTCGGTGAACTCGTGAACAGCTGATTCACTGAAAAGATTTAACTCAAAAATGATATGTTCACAAATGTGAATAAATTTGTGCTTCAAAGAAGAAAGAAATGCCAATGGGTTTAGAACATCATGAGGGTGAGTAAATGATGACAGGTTTAATTTTGGGTGAACTATCCCTTTTTAAAATGTCAGTTATTTCTATGAAACAAGGTGCATTTCAACATTTACATTGCTAATGGTGTTACAGGTGTGGGCAGGAAATTATATGGAGAGCAGGGAAGTCACCGTGTCATTTGTGGACCATTTTTTCCCCTAGTTTCTTTGGACAGCTGTTCTGTATTGAAGTAAATTAGAAAAATAGATGAATAGTGTATTTTTGTGTTTTCCAGGACCAGCTTCTCAATTCAAATCCCAACAGAATCAGGCCAGAAGAATTACCTCAGCAAAATCTGCTTCTATATCATTAGAGTCAAGAGAGATCTGCATGCCTCACGTTGGGTCATTTAACCTCCATCCATGTGTTAAAACCCTCGCTAAGCTGAGCCGCCAATGACCGAGTCCTGTGACCACTCACTGCTGATTCAGCACAGATTTAGCATTTCTGCTTATACATCCAATCAAACACATCTGATAGGGAGAGCAAGGTTGTTTAAAACAAACTGACTCAGGACCTTCATCTTTACCTCTGTGCTCTTCTGACCTTACTGAAGTACTTGTGCGAGAATCATTTGTAAAGGCTTCGGCAGATTTCACATTCAGTCATGCTTGTTGTGTACATGTCCAGTAGCACCATATATTCGAGTTAGACATCTAGTTGTGTATATATAGGATGACTAGCATTGTGAAGTTTGTTAATTACCATATAGCATTGTGTATACCTGACAAACTGAGGACCAAGCTCGTGTCACTGCTAGTAAACTGAAACACAAGGTTCGTTTTAGTGTCGCTACTAAGTTTAGGACTAAGGCTTTGTTTGGTTTTTAAATCTATTTTTAGGCTGTGCACAGTCATTTTACAGTGAAATCTGATCCGTTTGTTCTGACAATGTAGTAAATATCCGGATGCCAGCAGTTTTTAGTGGAAAGAGAGGGCAGAAGGTAGAAATTTTGCCTCTGAACATGTCTGTCATGAACTCACAAGACGCATGAGAAAACATTAGTGGTGGGCATTTTAGCCATTCATGCATATTCTGTGTACAAAACCACCTGTTTGTTCACTGTTCACTACATAGTGAAGGCTTTTATATCTCACTATATGAGGAAAAAGTGAGAGAGTATATTCTGACACAAATTAGAGTATTTTGAATGATATACAAAAGTTTGTGGTCTGTAAGATGTTTTAATTAATGATTTTATTCAGCAAGGATGCATTAAATTGATATACATAATGACAATTTATGTTGTTACAAAATATTCTATTTTAAATAAATGCTGTTTATTGAACTTCCAATTCATCAAAGAATCCTAAAAAAGGCATCACCGTTTCTACAAAAATATTAAGCAACACAACTGCTTTCAACATTGACAATATTAAGAAATGTTTCTTGAGCCTGGTGCATATTAGAAGGATTTCTAAAGGATCATGTGACACAGAAGACTGAAGTAACAATTTTGCCTTCACAGGAATAAATTACATTTTGAAATCTATTAAAATAGAATACAGTTATTTTAAATTGTAATAATATTTCACAATATTACAGTTTGTAACATCTTTCAAAAACATTAAAAAAATCTCACAGACCCCAAACTTTTGAACAGTATAGTGTGTATTTAATGCAGCACCCCAGATAATGATTAAAAAGTCTGAAATCTGATCTAACCATTTAGACTGAGATTTATAAGGATTTCAAACCACATATGGATGTTGTCTTTGTCTGTAATTACTTATTTTTTCAAGCCGGTAAAATGGCCTGTCAAAGTTTATCTCAAATTGCAGCAGCAAAGGAAGATCAGATTACAAAAAATGAAACAAATCACACCATCGATTTAAAAATCAAAATTTTCAATCAAGATTCTCTCACAGCACAATATACTGTATATCAGGAGATAATCTACAGTCAGCTGGTCATTAAGGGGTTTATTTTGAGATGATGTCCATCTGACAGTACATTATTCCACTTGTTAGACCGCTGCCTATCATTTAAATGCATAAATGGATATGAAATATTGATTTGAGTTGAAATTATTTGGTTATGTCAGAAGAAAGAGTCTGCGGAGGTTTTCAGGGACAATGGTTAAATGTGCAGTTTAGTGGTCAATCTGACTGCAATTGACCAATCAGAATCATGTATTCCAGAAAACCATGAAATTAAAATAGACAAACTAAGAATAGCTGGATGCTGAATAGCAAAACTCCACAGACAGTGACAGATGTGGACAGAAATGAGAGAAGCTTAGGTTTTTGTTTATGTTGAACATATCTGTTTGCTGGTGCATGTGGAATCACGCCACCTGAGGGATCTGATTTAGCATCATAGGCCTGAAGACTTTCATAGCACTGCTCAGACACACTCCATCGGCATTTGCCTCACTATTTATAGCACTTTAATAGTAAACAGCTCAAATGTTCACATCATATAAAAACCTGTGGGGCTACTAGCAAAAATGCCGTCTAGAGCACAAAGGTACAGTCTATACAACATTAAATAATATTACAATATATTATCCTCCTGAAGAGCTAAATTAGTGACATATCTAGTGAATTAGGTGTTAGTTCTAGAATATAGAATATACTAGAATATAGTCAAACCATATTCTAGTGCGTGCAGTGTCTAACAGTATCTAAACCTTTCATGTACCACATAAAAACATAATCCAGTGTCACATATATATTATTTACAAATCATTCATCAGTAAGTGCTGGGAAGTAGCGACACTATTTTACTACATTCAGTGGCATTAGATGCAAATTGATGGTTTCACTGCACTTTTAAAAATAAAGGTTCCTTATTGGCATCTGTGGTTCCAAGAAGAACCTTTAACATCCATGGAACCTTTCCATTTCACAAAAGGTTCTTTATAGTAGTAGTGTTTGTCAGATTATTCTAATGTTCATCACATTAAGAAAAAAGGGTTGTTTTAA